GTAAATTAAGTCTGTGTTTAAACTACTTTTACTTCTCTGTTGGGTGATATACTTATGTGGAAATGGAAATGGTTATCCTGTTTCTTAGTGTCTTTAGTCATTGCTTAACACTCTGATTCATCTCAATTTCAGATGTCAGAGCTGGACTCGTTAGCAGCAAAGATGAACGCAGAATTTGAAGAGGCAGAGTGCTTTGATTTGGTGGTGGAGTAAAGTCTGTAATATCGGCTGTTGGAGTTGCATATTGCTGTCTTGCAATCTGGCCAGTCACATGTTCATCATTTCTGCAATGACATCACCAGATGTCTCGGTTAGTAAAATAGTTATTGAATGACCGACTTTACTGGATTACTGAGACCGGTTTAAGAATTGCCTCACTGTTGTCCTGAAATTGACACAGTAGAACTGAAAGTATATGTCACAAACAAGAAAAATAAGTGAAATTAAGAGAAATAATTTTTCCTTTGTACCTATTTGTAAATAGTTTCTGTAGAACTTATTTCATAATTATCTTGCAGCTGTTAAAGATCCAGTTTTGCTATAATGTATTTTTCTTTTGCAAGTATTTTCAAAATACTGTTTGTAATTGCTAATTGGGTCATTTCTGCTTAATTCTTTCTGTATTAGCCAGTCCTCATGATAGTTAATGTTTACATTACCTGCTGTGTATAGATTTCTGTCTGCCATTATTGAGTGTATATGTGAGTGTCTAAGCTTGTTTTTTATGTTTGCTTTCTCTATTTTCTGTCCGCCCAATAAATGAGGAGCTGTACGTGCTTTGTGGAAAGGAGATGGGAATCGCGGTGCCTGATCTATTTCAGTATCTGTCCATGCACAGGAAGCTGGAAAGTGATGTCTAGTACTGACACCTTACGACTCCAGCACTGAGACCTCTCACATCAGCCATATGATGTTGGGTTTATCTCCAAGTCCAAATGGGAGGGCGTGCCTGGAGAGGAGAGAAGTGGGCTGGTCCAGGAGAAGCTCCAGTTTTCAGTCAGGAGCTCCTTGCATCTCAGCTCCTTGGGGTTCACCGGCACTTGTGAGCAGAAGGGTAGGATGCAAGGCTGGGTGAGGGTTCACTGCGTAAGCAGTTGGGACATCAGTTGGATAATCCTGACTTTGTGGTCCTCAGGCCCCGCCCACATTCCATCAAGCTGTCCCAACATGGTGGTCCTTTGCACCATTATCAACAATCCCAGAACAGTTCCTTACATAACCAACCGAGATGTAAGCCCTGGTCAGAAGGCCAGAAATAGTTCTGTGTTCCAGAGTAGATCTGAGAGTTGATAGATGTTATAGTTAATTGTACCTTGATCTTTACAAAGGTGTTGAGAAACTGCTAATGTTGGGTTAGTGCTTACAGCAAATTTATAAGTTGTTGGTGGACAAAAGCGTTGCAGCACTGCTGCCCTTGCTCTATGAATGACAGCAAGCAAAGGTTATCTGGCCAGATTATCTGGATTTTATTGATGTGCGCTGGATGCCTCATTTTACATCGACATTTTATTTATTTATCAGACACTTTTATCCAAAGCCATGTACAATTGAGAAGGTTGGGTCAGCCAGTCTTTGAAGCAATTGGGGGTTAAGGGCCTTGCTCAGGGTTCCAGCAGTGAAATCACTCAGCTGACCTTTGCCGTTAATCGAGACTGTTCAACAGCAATCATCTTAGTGTTGATGAGTGAGTGTTCCAGATCGTTGATGCTTTTTTTGTCGTCTCATGCTCTTTAGTGAATTTTCCTACAAACTTTACAGAGGAAATCAGGCTTCCCCTGAAAATAAAAATACTCATGTCATGCCAATATCAATCTTTGCTGCAATTCCATTCCTGTCCAGCAGAGTGTGCTGGCCAATGCTGTTTGTTTTCATTGAGTATACTGATTGAAATCTAGTTAAGCGATTACATAAGCTGTTACTGAAAATTGAGAGATGGATATTTTTAAATGTAATTTTTAAAAATCAGTTTTATATTTATCGATTTAATATAAATTCGCTTTAGTTTTAATAGCACAAAGCTAATTACAGTATAGATTATTTAATGCTAGTATACAACTGTCCAGCTTATGTTTAATTATAACAATGGCACGTTCTGTTTCTCCCCTTACCTGCATGAGTCACTACCTGCTCATCCACGCTTGTGGGGGTCACTTAATGGCGAGACTTGAATGATGGCAAGAGCACCAAGAGTAGATTTTGCGTGAAATGAATTTAACTCTCGACCCCTTCCCTGTTTAAAAACACTATGATGGCTAGACATTGTTTTATGAAGATCCTCACTGAGGGCATCACGCTTCCTTTGTTCACAGGCAGACTGCTGAGCTCTTCACAGTTTTATTGCTGCAGTCCAGGTTTTCTCAAGAAGCCCAATTAGTGTCCACTGTGCAGAGATGCACACAAACAGGAACAGGGTCGAGCTGGAATGGTTCTGGGTCTACACTGGGTCCCACCATCAGGAGGGCATTGCACCGGTTCACTTGAATGGAGAATAGATCCAGTCTGGCTGGAGAACATGTTACAGGAAGGCAGCATTACTGGGAATAACCCAGAGCGCAGCACTGCCATGGAGACCTACCAGCCTGCCCAGAGGACTTTGGATGACTTTCTGTGACAGCTGCACCCCCCAGAGGGGGCAGAATGGATGCCAGACTTTATGGGGAGAGAACGCAGTTACGATGCAGAACCTTATGGGGAGAGAATGCAGATAGGATGCAGAACCTTATGGGGAGAGAATGCAGTTAGGATGTAGAACCTTATGGGGAAAGAATAGAGATAGGATGCAGAACCTATGGGGAGAGAACGCAGATAGGGTGCAGAACCTTATGGGGAGAGAATGCAGATAGGATGCAGAACCTTATGGGGAGAGAATGCAGATAGGGTGCAGAACCTTATGGAGAGAGAATACAGATAGGATGCAGAACCTTATGGGGAGGGAATGGAGATAGGATGCAGAACTTTATGGGGAGAGAACACAGTTAAGATGTAGAACCTTATGGGGAGAGAACGCAGATAAGGTGCAAAACCTTATGGGGAGAGGATGCAGATAGGGTGCAGAACCTTATGGGGAGAGAACACAGATAGGATGCAAACCCTTGAGGGGGATAAAGACCACCCTTATCTACTCTCCAGTATGAAAGAGGTCACCATATTGATCACTTCTGTGCTTTCATGTTTTAATTCATGTATTAAAAAAATCCATCACCTTTCCAATCAGGCTTTGCTTTTCCAGCTCCTGTTATGCTTGACTTTCTGTAAATCTGACGCCCCAGCTCCAATGGTTAAGAGCCAGATGGCACATTCCCCCGATGCTCATAGCTAAATTTATACCCAGCCCTGAATAGATCAGCAGCACGTCTCTCACTGCCAGCTCCCTCTATGTGTTTTAGGAGGCACTTCTGACTGCCACTTTGGTGAACAGGAACATAGCATATGACATAGTATAAGTGCTGCATGAGCTGTGATCTGTCAGAGCTGCAATGAGTCTATGGAGCCATCAGCTATAGAGGCCATATTGAAACAGAACACTCCAGAACCTGAAAGGTCATATAGTTTGAGGGCCTCCATGACCTGTCTGACTACTCCAGTGACTGTGTGAAGTTGCACAATGGTGGAATGCACTAGCCACGCACATCCAGTCATCAGAATCCCTCTCAAACTTAAAGAAAAGCCACAAGAGCCATCTGTTTGGGGCTGACTCAGCTAGACAACCACTACAGCCACGGTCCTGCCTTTTATGGATCCTGAATGCTCTTAGTTTTCCACTTTGCCTTTTGTTCCAATGGCTCTCTTCTTAGGTCTTTGCCCTGTTTGTACATATCTTATATACGTCTGTATAGCTCTCGTGCCGATGCTGACTTGTGCTTCTTACTGAGTGTTCATTGGAAGCTCAGTCTAACTGCACTTAAGCCTTTATAGTTACATGTACCCTGGTGGGAAAATGAGCTGGTAGCTGTTACAGATGGTCTAAGATGGACTAAGATAGTCTTAGATGGTCTAAGATGGACTAAGATAGTCTTTGATGGTCTAAGATGGACTAGGATAGTCTTAGAGGGTCTTACATGGTCTTACATCGTCATGTCCCAGCTCTTGCTGCTCTTTGATGTTTTAGCTGGGAGGGTCACCAGCTGGTCATGCTGGTGCGGCCAGCCTATCATGCTGGTCATGCTGGTATGATCAGCTAAACCATCAAACTATCAAGTGAAAACATACCTCAAGTCGGTCAACTTTCATAAATTGGTCACCCAGCTGCAGTCTTTCAGGCTGGTGTTCTACTGTATTGTATTTTTCATTGTTGATGTCACACATTTATCTATTGTCTTTGTCTTTTTGTGTTGCACCACAGGGAGCCCAATGGAAACGGTATTTCATCACACAGTGTACTTGTACATGGACGTGTTGACAATAAAGAACTCTCGATTCTCGAGTCTAGTCTAGTCGGCTCCTTGACTGCTGTTTGCTTCCTCTATTTGCCTGACTTGTAAATTGCTTTGAAAAAAATGTAAATGCTCCACTTCTGAAATGTTTTCTTTATATAATCCATGTGTAAACAAAATCAATGCTGATTTTAACTGCTGCATTGCTACACCAGCACCAAACCAGCACTATCCAGCATAGACCAGTGTGGGAATCATGCTGGTCTATGCTGATTTTTCAGCAGGGTAATTTTTTGGAAAAGAAAATTGATTAGGAATATATATATATATATATTTTTTCATATATATATATATTCAGATAGCTCTAGATAGCTAATTTCAGTTCCTTGTTATTCATGTTCTATTTAATTGTGCTAAGTTGTGCTGTATTTATTATAGATAGAGATCTGAGGGTCTGTTTTCATTACATTTAGCATCACACACCAGCAGTGGCAGATGTTTGTGGAGTTTTGTGGTTGATGCTTCCTGATGGCCTGTTGGGTGAGTTAAGAAAAGAAGAGAATAATCTTATTTATAGGCAGGCCTTCTGCTGTCTGTGCAAATAGTGTGACATCCTGTGTAAGGCTTGTGTTTGTGCGATTCAGTTACACAAGGTTCTACAGGTCTGATGTTTTACGCCCTGGTGTGGTGAAGAGGCTGTGTAGAGTTATACTGGCTGCCAGAGGTGGAAAGGTCTTGTCCAGAAAGTACAAATCCAGACCAAGGTTTTGTTTCCACCAACCAGTTGAGTATAAAGAGTCACAATCACAGAGGACTCAGCTGATTGGTGGAAACAAAACCTTGTTCTGGATTTGTACTTTCTGGACTTATCCAGCGCTGCTGGCTGCACTAAGTCTGTAATGAGGTCAGTAATGAAACTACCATGGCTACAGGAAGGGGGTGTAGGCTTCAAGTGCTGCTTATATCTCACTCTAGATCAGCTTCTCTCCTCCCTATGAAATTATTTTTGTTATGAACATATTATTTAATCAGAGGATACACTAACAGAAGAACCAGAAGTAGGGCTGTTCTTAGCGATGTTTAATAAATGTTATCTGTGTTTTCATTATAATTACTATTTTCAGTTTCAAATAGTATCCTTTTATCTGTTGAGTTGACATAGCACACTTGACTTGTATTAATTTTGTTGAAAAGGCAAGTTAAATGTATTCTGTCTCCTTTGTCTGTTATGTAATTAGAATTCAGTGACGTTCTTAGTGTGACTTCATGCAATGTTTTTATTCAACAATTCGGTCATTTGTTACAAAGTAAAAGGACCCATCAACAAGGGTGCAGATTTGTTCCCAATACTGGTAAGGACCAATCAGCCCGAACCCCCCGCCCCCCTAAACACACATGGTACTCCCACATTATTGGTACGGACCAATCAGCCCGAACCCCCCACCCCCCTAAACACACATGGTACTCCCACATTATTGGTACGGACCAATCAGCCCGAACCCCCTGCCCCCCTAAATACACATGGTACTCCCACATTAAAATGTGATAAAAATGGATATTTATCACATTATGGGGACATTGTGTCCCATTCATTTTGAAGGTCACTTGATGTCATCCTCTGATTCATGAGAAACTGTCGGATAAGTTAACAATCATCAAAGTTCCTGGTCCTTCACAGTGTCTCCTTTGTTCTTGTGCACTGCTGTCTCACAAATTTTGAACCTTGAAGCAACCTGCTGCTCAGTGTAGCCTTCTGCCAGCAGAACTACGATTAAACCAACTCATATCATATTATATCATATTATAAACAAATGAACAACCAGTACTTTTAAGTAAAACATTTATTTCAAGTACCAATAAATTAAAACCTAAATTATAGTTCTAAAAGAGCTAAGTTAAAAAGTTCATTGACAAACAGTCTCATTAGGTGCTTTTTAGTTACACCTTTGCAATAACATAAATCACCAAATATCTGTGAATAGTATCCATGTGGGGGCCAATGGCTACATTTGCCATTAATAGAAAAATGGTAAGAACAGAACTGAATGAGTCAGTCAGAAAAAACAATGACACTTAATAAAAAGATAATGTCTGTGCAGAAGACATCTGAATGTATGTTAAACATTGCTCATCAATGTACTTTTGCTATGAAACCAATAAATGTGCAATATTTTCACAGAATTAAGCAAGTGCCCCAAGCTTTTCTGTAAGTGTTTTATGTAAAGACGTTCATAAACAATCCAGCAGAACCTGTGACAGGTTCAAAGCAGCAGAAAATCTGAAGGTAATAACGACGTACTTTTCCTAAATGTTCACCGTATTCCCTGTACCGTCTAAGCATTTAGCAGCGATGTGATGGTATTTTCCTGTGGGATCTATCTAACAAGCTGATAATTAGGGACATTAAGTAAGCTAACCCTTTACCCCCCCCCCTTACTGTCACCTTCGATTGAGGCCTCTGGTCTGACATCATCCACTCTGCGGAGGGAGTTTGCCCAGCTTTGCTGAGCCGACATTGGCCTGCTTTCCCATTGGAAGGTGCTGTTTAATAGGATCACAGGGGGATTAGTGCTCAGATGGGCCCATTGCCTGCAACTGGGATATGTCAAGTGTGTGTTTGTTCCATCATGGGCATGGAGGCTTAAGGGTGCTGTGTGCGGGACTGCGGGGGTCCAGCCAATCGCATGCTGGCTCTTATCCAGTTTCGGGGGGCAATAACAGCACTGCTGTGACTCAGCACTAATCCTAAGTTTTAAAGAAATCATAGGAGTTTGGGATTTGATTTTGTCTGTTTAGTGCTTGATCCTTCTACTGCATAAAGCAGGATCCAGCTCGGAATACCCTGGAATTATTCAAATAAGAGGTTCCGAAAGAATTTTTCCCACACTTCTGGATTATCATTCCTTTTTGGTGCTTCATTGTCCAGCTTCATTGTCTTGGTTGATCTTCCACCATCTCCTCCGAAGAACCATACCAACAGATCCAAGCCTCATTTGTGTATATGCTGACATCAGTGTCGGCCTCGTTGTAGCCAACCGGCTCCGCCCCACCTGAGATCCGCAGCAGAACCTTCCGCTCCCATCTGCACCTTTCCCCACGACCCATCTCAGCACCTCCGTTTTTTTTTTACCTCTTTAACCCAACTCTTCACACCCAACTCCACCCCACACACCTGGTCTCCTCCCAAGTCACCTTCCTCCTATTTGCTATTCCTCCCAGACGATTGTCTCTCTCACCTCCCTGCCCTTGTGTTTAGTCACCATGGTGCTTCTAAAGATGAAGTTCCCCTTCCAGAAGCGAGTGCGCTTGGCCCAGGGTCTGTGGCTGCTCTCCTGGATGGCTGTCATCTCTGGGGCCCTCACCTTCTCCATGGGTCTGTTCCTCAAGGCAGAACTTCACCGACAGGCGGAGGTAAGGTCAGGCGTCGTCATTGCCTGTGTCATCCATAAATGACGAGTCTGTCCAAGACTGAATGCACTGCTTGTCAACCAATTTGCATAATTTATGGCAATTGGCAACAGGTACTTTATTTGTCAAGAATGGCTGTCAGCTGACATATTCTTGTGATCCTGCTCTTAAACCCTCAAGCAAGTCTAAACTGCATTAATAATAATAATCACCTAAGACTGTGCATGCATACATAAGCGTCTAATATTAAATTATTTCTACTATATGGTAAATGCATTAAGCATATTATGACATGAAAAATGTGTTTTGTACTGCATATATGTACACCTGTGTATATGTAATTTTTAGCCCAGATGTTTTCCGCACATACCAGCCAATATATTACATGATTGAACACATTCCAAATGAGAGCTAAAAAGTCACTGGTAGCACTCTGCTTGAACTAGGCTTATTAGCTAATTAGTACAACGATCATAAATATGTCACAACAGGATGCCAACAGGTCGTAACTGTTTATGACAGCTGTTATAATATCTGCAGCAGCCAACATAATTTATTATGAAACCCAGGACTGTAAAAGATGGTGAGATCATGACTGTATTTTTTGTAATGTGTGTGTACTCAGGTACAGGTCATGAAGGGACGTCCACTTTAAAACGTCCCTGATGAGTATGTGGATGGGGGGACATTTCAGCGTCATTATCTTTTATTGATCATTGGATCTCTGCTGAAAAGATTCTGTAACACACAGCACTGCAGAGGCACTTTAAATAGTCCCGCAGTGGGACTGCAGTTGCGCTTAAGGAGGCCAGTCTTAGGCGAGCCTGACAGTGAATGTAGGCCTTCTGAGATTTGCCATACAGCAAATCGATGCAGTGGGCTTGTTTTTAGTGTGAACCAGCAGCATTAGATTACATTAGGTAGGCTTTATTGTCCCCGAGGGGCAATTTGGTTTGCAGGCTGCAATCAACACAACCAACACATATGTAGTAAGATACATAAAAGCTTTTTATATATATATCTAAAATAAAAACAATACATGACATCTTACTACAATTACAATTAAATATGAAACACTAAAAATGGATTAGTCCTGTGGAAATGTATATAGAATCCTGGCCAAGATCTACAACTTGACAGAACAAATGATCTCAGGGTGAAAATTAAATGAGCCTCAGAAGTGACCAAATTCATTAATGACCCATCATGATGTTCACAAGAATGATGAGGATGATGTTTGTAGGTGATGGACAACACCCAGATCCATGCAGTGCCCAACACCCTGATGATGATTGGTCTGGCATCACTGGGTATCAACTTCTTTGCTGGGCGGATCTGCCAGGACTCCCTGGATGCAAGTCGCTTCCCACGCTGGAAGACCTTCATGTTACCCTACTTCATCCTCTCCCTCTTCTTCACGATCCTGATGCTGGTGGCGGTCATCATGAGCTACGCGATGAAGGGCAACCTCGAGGAGTCGCTGAAAATAGGCCTGAAGAACGGCATCCGATTCTACAAGGACACGGACACACCGGGCAGATGCTTCCAGAAGGAGACCATCGATCGGCTGCAGATGGAGTTCCACTGCTGTGGGAACAACAACTACAAGGACTGGTTTGAAGTGCAGTGGATCAGCAACCGTTACCTGGATTTCACCTCCAAGGAAGTGAAGGAGTGAGTGAAGCAGAGCAACATAGAGCTTGCAGTAGATATGAAGGTGCATGTGGAGGAGCTGTAAAGTTAAGTGAGGGCACTGATAGCTTGCTATGAAGAAGTCTGTTCTAGGGCTACAGCAGTGTTTCCCAATCTAGTCCTTGGGGACAGTCCACGTTTTTGCGGGAGGTGGGAGGGAGCAAAAATGTGGATTGTCTGGCAGGGAGCTGAGAGGGAGCAAAAACGTGAATCGTCTGTGGGTCCCCGAGGACCGGGTTGGCATACACACGCAGTATGTTGCTGCATGTCACCCATTTCATAGGGTGTGGGACAATGGACGGCCACATCAAAGCATTATTTAAAGCAAGATCTTGACAGGTGGACTGCATGGTGTTGATTTAGAATTCCTTGCATTGTTAATCTGTGATAAAACACATAATATACACAATATATGTAAAATACATATATTATGTGCATAAACGAGTCTATCATCAAAAAATTCTCTACAAAAAATGTTAAATTTATGCTGGCAGCAAGAAAAAGACATTTCTTTTAAAGGTTGGAAAGCCTTGAGATTTAGGGTTCTTTAATGTACAATCTTCCAAACCAGAGAAATATGAGATATGACTACAATATGATTTAAACAACACAAGGGCTAATATTTACATTCATCATTCAATGGGAGAATATACTCAAAGGGCCGGTGCCATGGGAGAGATCTTATGTTTTGTTTTTTTCTTTCTTTTTTGTCAATATGGCTGTCGCTTTTTTGTCCCCCAGTCGGATCAAGAGCAATGTGGATGGACGCTACCTGGTGGACGGGGTCCCCTTCAGCTGCTGTAACCCCTCCTCCCCGCGGCCCTGCATCCAGCACCAGCTCACCAACAACTCCGCCCACTATAACTACGAGCACCAGACGGAGGAGCTGAACCTCTTCTCCCCCGGATGCCGCGAGGCCCTGGTCAGCTACTACATGGGCCTGATGAACAGCATCGGGGCGGGGGTGCTCTCCTTCTTGCTCCTGCAGGTACACTCACCCCCCGACAAGTACACTATATGGCCAAAAGTATGTGGAGACCAGCTTGTCAAACATTTCATTTCAAAACCAAGGGTATTAATATGAAGCTGGCTAACCCTTAGCTGCTATAATAGCCTCTGATCTTCTGGGAAGGCTTTCCGTTAGATGCTGGAACATCTATCTGGGATAACATGGGATCTGCTGCCATTCAGGTTGGGTATTGATGCTGTTTGACCAGGTCCGTTGCTCTGGGCTTGTGTGGCCGACCGATTCGCAGCTGAATTGCTCCCAGATGTTCTGACCTTCACAGTTCGTTTCACCTGTAGTTGACCATGGCAGCTCTATCAGGACAGAAATGCAGAGAACTGACTTGTTGGAAAGCTGGCATCTTACGATAGTGCTGATCTCTCCTGTACAACCACGCATTCTGCTGCTAGCATTTGCTGCAGGAGATTGTGTGACTGTGTGCTTAATTACACACCTGTCTCAGCAATGGGTACGGCTTAATTAGACCATTACTCCGATTAATCGGTGTCCACATGCTTTTGGCCATACAGTTTATGGCCAGTTTAACAGTTTAACTCTTAAAACAGGGGGTCCGGTATGACTTGGGGAAGTTTTTGTCACTGTTGTTATTTATTTATTTACTTATTTTAATAGAGCAATTTTTAGTGGATTACAGAAACAAGTCACAAAAGTATTGTGTAAGATTTGCCAGTGGATTCTTACAAATATTATAAATTAGTGATTTATTTATGCTATGGTGTAAGTCTTTTGTCACAGTCTCTGTCTCCCTTGCTGTGTTCCCTCCCTTACATCCATCCACTTCTCTACCCTGACTTATATGTTCCTATTGCCTGTTTCCAATCAATCAAATGTTACCATTTCATTTATTTATTTCCCCACATCTTGTCTTGTCACCACCTTTTCTAACCCCCCCCCCCCCAATTTCATAACTTATTTCCATCCTTTTATTTCGCCCCAAACACTCGATGCCGAAATGCCTCTGAAGGTCTCAGTGCTGGTGAGCTTAAGGTACCTGCAGACCTCGATGGAGGCAGTGCTGGGACAGGAGAACACGGAGATTGAGACAGAGGGATACCTTCTGGAAAAGGGAGTGAAGGAGACCATCAAGGAGATGATGGATAATGTCCTCAAGTTCTTCCACTTCAACCAGGTGGACGCATCTGTGGGGCTGGAGGCAGAAGCGGGGGAAAAGCCAGCAACACCAGCTGATTAGAGGAATGGGGGGGTGGGGAGCAAAGCATGTCTGCTCATGTCCAGCTGGGCCGCAGTGTGCTGGGGGCAGGGGTGCTGAACATCTCACTAAACTGATTAGTCCCCTAATTTAACTAGTCAAGTTAAAAAATATGGTTAGTTCTTTTAGAGTGAGCCGGGAAACCTGCATGCACTGCAAACCCCCCCCCCACACACACACAAGGCTGTGACTCTGGGATCCCAGTAGAGAGAGATCCCAGTAGAGAGGCTGAATGGTGGCCACTGAACCGGACTGAGCTCCACATTGATTCAGAGAAGGATTGAAGCTCACGCCACATCTGCTGATTACTCCATATGTCCTTTACGTGGATTAGAAAGTCAACCAGAAACTGCTGTCCCTCACGGATACGTGCATCTCTATTGCAGAGTCTTTAACCCCAGGCAGATAGTTACTACATACCCCTGTAAGGCATAATGAGTATTACTGCCACCAAATACTATACTAATATTTTTCAGATAGATTGCATTTTCTTATTTTTTTCCTTAATATTCTACTGATTTCCCCCTTTAATGTCTCCCAAATTCATCCATCCATCCATTCACTTTCTGTAACCACTTGTCCTACTCAGGGTCACGGGGTGGGGGGGGGTTTCCAGAGCCTATGGTCACAAGGCAGAGAACAACCCAGAATGGGGCACCAACCCATCGCAGGGCACACTCACACCTATGGGCAATTTGGTAACTCTAATTAACCTGTCTTTTGAACTGTGAGTTAAAACCGGAGAAACCAGAGGAAACCCCACGATGACATGGGGAGAACATGCAAACTCCACACACATGGAGCCATAGCGGATATTCTAACCCCGTTCCTAGAGGTGTGAGGTCACTGCGCTGCCCTGACTCCCAAATTATTTTGTATGAAATGTAGCCAGATTATTAAAAACTCTTAAGGCAGTACTTGCAGCATGACCCTCACAGCTGCTCACAGCTCCTTACTGCTCCTCATTGCTCCCCACAGCTGCTCACAGCTCCTTACTGCTCCTCATTGCTCCCCACAGCTGCTCACAGCTCCTTACTGCTCCTCATTGCTCCCCACAGCTGCTCACAGCTCCTTACTGCTCCTCATTGCTCCCCACAGCTGCTCACAGCTCCTTACTGCTCCTCATTGCTCCCCACAGCTGCTCACAGCTCCTTACTGCTTCTCAATGCTCCTCACAGCTCCTCATTGCTCCTCACAGCTCCTGAGAGTCTGGGTTTAAATGGAGAATGGTGGTAGAGCTTCCTGGTTGTCTACCAAGGGAAGGGACCCCGCAGTACAAAACCCCAGGAGAAAAGGAATCTGATTGGCCACATTTTCTCTATGACCATGGCAATGTAACATTTAACTTACATCTTTGGTCCCTAGCATAGAAAACTGTGTTATATAGTAAAATGTAATATTATTAAAAAACATGATTGGACAGATACAAACATTTAAACTGTGGAATGCAATGTAAATTATTGTCCTTATTGTATGTTGTACGTTGACTGTAGTGTGTGAATCGCTGTTTGTAAACAGCAAGGGGACAACCGTCACAGTGGAGACTATTAAAGTTTGCATCTGCTTCTTCGAGTTGAGTGACATTATATGCCCAGTTTACTTTCTTGCTAATGGAGCAGAATGTTCTTTTTGAAGAATTGTGTATGCTGTTTTAGAGAGGTGACAAGCTGCATGTTTTGAATATTCTGCAGGGGTTTCCCCAATACAGTCCTCATTAGGCCCCTAGAGGACACCTGTCTGACACGAACACCATTCTGCCAGAGTAATCACAGGCCATACACAGTGGAATAATAAGGAAGCCATTTAAAACCAGAAACCTGTCACTTTGTTACCTCTCCCTTCCACAGCATCAGCTGATTCCTGAGGCAATTTATTTTCTGTCTTCCTCCATTCTCACACTCATTTGCTACTCATTCTTTCCCCCGTCATTCTCCATTTATCCTTTCCTATCTTTTCCCCTGTGTCTTTTTTTTCCCTCTCTCTGTTTCGCTCTTGTTGTTCCCTCCAGCGCCCGTGACTCTCTCAGCATCTTAGTAATGTCATTGGCAGACAGGAATAGGATTATGCAGACTGATGGCTGATGTCAGTAACCCAGAGAAAGCTCAGTGTCTGCGTCCTCTGCTCGGACAGCTCGTAAACTGCTAATCCCTCTAAATAATTCCTAAACTGCTGTCGAAGCAGAAACATATACCTTGGGGTGACCAGCTGTGTATTTTTGTTATGTTTATGTTATGTTACGATTTATCTGGCCAACAAATGTAAAGAAAAGATGTATTTATGTGTTTTGTGCTTTTAGATGCCTCATTCCTCACATCAGCGCTTAACTGTCTTCTGATTTAGAAGACCGTTTCTGAATCGGCGTGCTTACAATTTTAACTATTTCACTGCTAATTTTACATTTCATAATTTGTGATTTGTTAGATATGAGCCAGATTTCACTCAGTGTGGTGAAATATTATAACTATAACTATGAATAATTTATTTCAAGGTAGTTCATAAGAATTTTGAAGTAACAGCTTTAATGTACTAGTTTTCGGTTTATGTGTGGTATGCACTGACTGGAATTTTGATTGATTAATCATTCATTCTTAGGAGATGGTCAGAGAATACAGAATACACAAAACTGAAAGTTTTTTAAAATAAAATATACTGTAGTTATGCATGCAGAACACTGAGAAAACTAGCCTTCAATACCATGAATTCATCACTAACTTACAATAAGATGAAATTAGAATCTGTTGCTTCATGAACATGACCGTATTAATCTGTCTCACAGTATGTGAGCCTGAGTACCTGGATTACCAACAGCTCTTTACATCCGCTGCTCCTCGATACTGATCCCCCAGTGCATTGGTCTCACACACAGCCAGCTCTCCACTGGACAATGTCTCCTACTGCACTGCGCATATCAACCTGCACCTGCAGCCCAAGCTTGTGTCCCCCACTAAAAACACTAGGGGGCGATATCATATAATGAGACCTCTGTGATGGCTAAAATGAAAAAAAAATATTCATGATCTTTGTCCATATATTTAACAAATTCTGCTGTTTAATGCTAAATAACTTGCAGATATGATTCTGTTTCCATTGTTTCTCTCATCATTCCACCTTCCATCGTGAAAACTCCAAGCCACAACTGAAAATTTGTAAGAACATTAGAATTTGAATTTAGTGATCATTGTCAGCACACCACAGCACACAGTGCGCAACAACGAAATGTGACCTCTGCATTTGACCCATATGTGACTTTCGTGACATAGCAGGGGGCAGCTAATTCAGCGCCCGGGGAGCAGTGCTTGGGGATGGTACCTTGCTCAGGGTACCTCAGTGGTGACTTGCTGGTGGGGGATTCAAACCTGCAATCTTTCAATTACAAGTGTGCTACCCTAACCATCAAGCCACCACTGCCCACTGGATTATGCAGACTGACATTGAAGTGACGTCTAAATCTGGTTGAATCAGTGGGCAAAGGGGCAGGCCATGCACAGAACGACTGAAACCAGAAGGTTGCTGAACCATTGTTATGATGTTTGTGTGTGGAAGTGGACGCACAGCAAAAGCTACAACTGACAAAAATGGTGCGTCTACAGCTAGATGCCTGGGTTATAGAGGAAAGGCTTCCATCACATGGACCGGCCATAATCCCAGGGTTATCCTATTTACAAGGTTACAAATAATTCAGGACAACAAACACAAAATGCATCTATTTTTAAATAGAATGTTTATATAGTGAATATTTTTCTTTAAAAGAATCTACCAGCACACAAAAGATTTTAATGATTTGTGACAGTCCCAGACTAAAAACCCGAAATGCTGACATTCTGCTGTCTCGTGATTTTACCGACTTTATGTCATATGTTCTGTGTGACCTTGATAGGATTTCTGCTAGCCTAGACAAACCAACGAGTGTGAATTTCTGGACTGGTTTATGGTAAGCAGCAGCACTGTGCTTTGCTGGAGGTACCAAATTTCTGCTTTGGATATGAACGACTGCTCTGGCAGGTTATAAAATCTGCAAGAAACATCTGTGAGATTTGTACAAACCAGTATTTCCAGGTTTTCCAACCATAACGACCTGCAGGATTTAAACATACCAACGCGAAAAAAGACAACACTGTCCAAACTCTCAAACAACACACTACAAAATGTCTTGTAGCCAATAGTAAACAATGAAGCAGGCAAACCCGGCAAACCGGCCCCTGCCTAAAATGTGACCGTCAAGCCCTAAGTCCCCGTGGAACACCAAGGTGATCTGCTCGAGCACCTCCAGGCCATCTGGGCATCCAGGGTGTGACACGGGGTACAGAACAGCTGGTTCAGTGACTGTTTCTGGTGGCTTTGGTGGTGCAAAAGTAAAAATTACATTTTTATTTATATAGAGCTTTTTAAAGACTCAAAGACGCTTACATAGAAATCGGCAAAGTAAACAGATAAGACAAACAACAAAAAACATTTTATGGATAGGGATTGTAGGCTTTATTAAACAAAACGGTTTTCAGATTGGTTTTGAAACTGGAGTTCAACTAAGGGAGTGAGTTCCAAAGTTGAGGAGTTAAACAGGAAAAGGCACGGTCACCAAAGTGCAAGGACGTCGATCTTTGTCCGGGCCTTTTCCAAGCCTGCACCCGGGAAATTCACCGGCCACCAGCTGCAGTCTTACACCCTCCTAACACACTGGCCCAGACGTCCTAAATTGATTTTCAAAAGCAAGAAGTGTAATTTCAAACGGCGCTCAGCAATGCAAGTCCTATTCCATCAGATATCATGTCTGCACGGGACCCCTGGAGATGAGGGGCATGGGACGTGTTTTGTACGTGCCTGAGGGCCAGGGTAAGCCTTTCTTTGGAATATCACCCTCAATACAACAGACAGACAGAATGTTAGAGTAGTGATATTTTATGTATAGTGATGTTCCAAAAAACTCATATCCAGGCACATTATTTTTCCAACTGAAACTCAATCCTATAACCTACTGTCTCAAATTGCCCATGCATCTGAGAATCCACCCCACCTTTCATACCTCCTTGCTAAACCTGGTCCCCATGGTTCACCTGCAGTTTGCTAATTAGCCACTAGAGCTCGCTCTTGTTTGGTTCTCTGTTCAGTATCCCGCGTTAATCTTGTGTCAACTAAGGGCTGTCGTTTGCCTTCTTGATGATTTTGAGTCGAGACTCTGCTTGCTTTCCAAGTTCCTGTTTGTTTTTCTTTTTACATGTCAGTCCTGAATCCAGCTGGTGAGCCTCTTCCTGTCAGAAATAAGCCCCCTTGTCCTAACAATGTTGGTGCAGTTTGCACGTTCACAACTGCTAACGAGATTTTCTCCCGTCCAAGGTGCACCTTCCTTCACGTCCAGGACTTCCTGGGAGATACCTGCGAACTGGATACACACAAATTTGGATTCTAAAATGGTATATTTTAAAAGTAAACAAGGACATGCAAGTATTTCGGCACTAAAACTATTACCAAAACAAATTGCTTTAAATTATCCATCTTATGATATTTAGAAGAATCCTTCGTATTAATTAAAAATAGCCAATCTACCCATTTAAGTGAAACGCCAAACATGTATCGAAAGCCCACTTTTTTAGGTTACGAAGTTTCCAGTTTGCGCAAAAGTCTCCCAGTGCGCAAAGTGAGTAAAGCATGTAAAGATTTACGCCTACAGAACATCAAACTCAGCTACTGCCAGGCAACCGGCTTGAATTTTTCACCTAGGAAAATATGACGTGACTGACTTAGGGGAACCTCGTAGTTGTTTTGGGGGGTTTTTTCGGGAGCATCCTACGCGTCTTATTTAATTACAACGAGGCATAGAACGAGAGACCTTGACGATGAATAAAATGTTGCTATAACTATGTCTATAATATATCGTATAGCCTATTTTTTTCCTTCGGTGTGGTAAGGTTTATGTTTAAGTTTACCCACGGCGATGCGTCACCCAGCAGGTTGTGTGTGGAAACAAGCGCGCTAAGGGCTGCTGTATAGTTATTATCAGAAGCGCAGCAGTTGCGAAATTCCGGTGCGGTTTAGCGGAGTAACAATGCAGTGAACAGGCAGGGTACGACATGCCTCTGTGCCGGTAGCTGGGCAGGACTATCAGAATCCACCTGTTTCATTTTTTAAGGCTAATTCGTTATTTAAATGTAATTATGATGAAGTAGCGCCACATGAAGAATAAGACATGGAATGCCTGACAAAGATGGACGGTATTTTTGCTGACATGTTAGAGGAGTTCATGGGGAGCGCCCTCGTGACCTGGGTAAGTGCGCGCGACACCCCGAAGTTATGTAGAAAATAAAACCGAAAATTATAATACGTCGGGAAAAAACGACTAATTGGATAATGGCCGTTTTTAAATGATTGGCTTGTAGGCCTATGTGGCTGTTTAAACGATGACATTTGTATGTTATTCTTCCTGTTAGGTGATTTTAAAAAAAAAGTTATCGTCTTTTCCATATTATATAAAGTTGCACACAGAAGTATAAAATAGAGTAAACAGAAAGGTAAACAATTTTAACATAAACAACTTCTCCTTTTTCTGCTGTGTGTCACCCCTGTGAGTATTTCCTTGTTTTAGGTATTGTAGTCCTCACCATTTAAGGTTTTTCTTTTTGGTCTCCTTTTCCAAGTTACACTGTAATTCTATGAAGGACTCGCTATTTATTCATCTGTACTACCCAAACTTCATATATGCAATGTAAACTCTGTTTAAACATTAATCATTATAAGTTTAAATTTAAGGCAAGTGTTATAATCAATCTTTTGTTGTTCTGGAAGGCATAAGAGAGTCAGTATCGCATTTTTTGATGGCCTTAATCACTAGTAGATCATTTTAGTGTAATTTTAGGATTTATGCCAGTAAAGTACATTTTCTGTGCTGATGCCGTTATCTGTCATTTGAATCATGCACCGTTAAATGCCGTTTTCTTTCGTCATGCCCTCCCAGGTCCTTACGTTTGACGGTGTGATTGATGGAGAGGGGCCAATTTCTGCTCAGTACCTTGAAGTGAATTCCAGTACCCAGAATTCCCAGAAGCAGTACCTGGAGCTCACCAATGGAATATTCCTCAACGAGGTTATGAGGGTCATGTGAGTCGTGCTTTGTTATATCAGTGCCTCAGGAAAAAGTATTTTGCCTTCTTTGCAGTGAATAATGTTTTGCACAAGTGAGCTTCAGGCTGGGATGTGATGGCTGAAACTGAGATTAAGGGTGTGCTGTCTTAATAGACAAGTTATTGTTTCATAATTCCCTCACTATTCTGTTACTGTACTGTGAGTACGGCTTGATGATGGGCATTCTGACCTCTGTCCATACTTCGCCATTTCAGTGACCCAAATCCGAAGGTGGAACGAATATATTGGGAAGAGAGCAACGATGAGGTTCTAAGGGTCCAAAACTTCTCTGTTCTGAACCGACACCTGCGGTCCTACTATCAGGTGAGAGACGACAATTTGGAGTATTGATCAAGTTTACATACCTATGTTTTACCGGGACTTAGTCTAGTAGGAAATAGTGAAGTGAATACAATTGTTGATTATACAGTCAGAGATTTCTGTAGACATTGTGCACTAATATCCATCCATCTTCCAACTTTGTATACACTGCATGGATGCGGGGAATTGACTAATAGGAAATAAAAAATATGGATTCTGAAATATGGCTCAGACCTACAGTAATGCACTCATGACGACCATATACTCATGACGACTACACAAGTTTTGTAATATCTACAATATGTTATACTGTTGAAAAATGTCAGTAGTGACAGTAAAACCATATAGACACCCCTGTAGCAGACATCTTTAAAAGAATGAGCCAAAATTACAGTATGTGAAGTAATTTCTGTGTGAAGTATCCAGTGAGCGTACAGTGCGGTTATGCATGGTGCACTTTAGTGAGCATGCTCAGTTTTGTGTATGAATTTCCCTCTGGGATCAATGAAGTTCATATATTCTAGTCTAATACACCTTTTTATAAAGGACTTCATTGTCATTTTTTCAAACCATAAACTACCTTTGGAATTTTATGGAATGAATAAGGGGTTTGTTGTTTGTCTTTGTGAATAAGCTTTCCTGCTATTGGGGTAGTTGGTGGCAAACTTCTCTTAATGGTTTCACTTCTCACTTTGAACTTCCTGGTCACTGCTGGCCAGAATAGGTTCACAGTTTCTTTCTTTTGATTCAGAGATGTAGATGTCACAAGTTCGTTTGCTTAATATTCATATCTGAAATTGAAGTTTGAAGTGTTATGGATGGTTGAAATGAATTATGTCTCCTGAATGGTTTGATAAATGTGAATGGTGTTTGCTTTTTTGCTTAGTATTAATTTTAGACAGTCTGTCACTTGTTTTGTAGAAAAACACATAAATGTTTTTGTTGCAGTTGTACAGAGAGGAAAAGGAAATGGTTTTATTTTTACCTACTGTATAATATTATATTAAATGAAATTCCAGTTCCAGCTCAACTATGAGTCAAACCATTATTTTTTTTTATCTTTTTGTGGGTTGGCTGTTTCCACAGTAACACATTCACAACCTTAAACGTCACTTCCTGCGACTTACCTAAACTTCCCTTTCTGAGAAGAGATTCTGCATTTGCTTGCCACTCCCTCTCTACCAAACCGCTGTTTTTTTTTTTCTTCACTAAATTTGTTAAGCACAGAGGTACTTTAAATGTCACGTAATTCATAATCTCAGTATAAATCTGTCTGGAAATAAACATGTGGACTTTTTTTTTAATAATTATTCGGTTCTTGTGTTCTTGGTGGATGAAAAATAAAGTATGTTAATGGTATGATGTGCAGAGTTGTAACTCCCAATACTAGAATGCCATCACTATCGTGAATGTATGGCTATACCTATACTTGACCTGATTTACTAGACATGTCTCTCTTGCACTTGGACAAAAGAAAGAACATACTGTATAAATACGGGCTTCTACACAATGGCATACCAAGCCTCTGTTTACATGTCCATGTGTTTCCTGTGTTCTTGCTCCTGTCAGGAGAACCTGCAGCAGTTAATTTTGGTGCCCCTCCCAAATGTTGCTGTATTGGGAAGAGACCCCCTCACAGGTTGGTACCTGTTTTCTGCACCTTTGGGTCATCATGGATTTCAGCTTGGTTCTGTAGCTTCTGGTCCACCGTTTTCCCACAAATCGCTGGCACCACAGACTACTGGCATCTACTGTTGACCAGTGGTGATCCATGGCAACCTCTTTCGGTCACACAGATATTGTTCTTTGGTGGATTTCTTTTCCTCTGTGCCTCAGTCTTTGAACGTCTGTGCTGGTTCTCCAGTGGCCCTTGTGTCTGGTTTTCGACACATTTACTGGGCTGTAGACTGTGTATAATTAGATAGCTTGTGTGCTATGGATGTTTCACCAAAATGATGCTTTTGCATTAGCGTGTGTGTGGTTCTGTGCCATCAGAGGCGGCTGTGGAGGAGCTCAGGAACTTGCTGCTGCTGCTGCTGGGCTGTGCCGTGCAGGTGAGTTTGTATTTCATTCACACACTCGACTGCAGAGCTCGGCAGCATGGGGAATGTGTACCGCAGCAGGACAGCTAAACGATACGCCGCAGGGTTCTGTTTCTCAAGATGGGCACTTTGACGTATTTGAAATGGAAGTGAACCGATGCTTTATTTGCCATCTGCACAAATGTGAGTGCACTGGAATTCTTTGCTTTGCATAATGTATGTTCTCTCCTTTGAGACACACACTCACATATACAGTTGAAAGAGAATCTTGGGGTCTGAGCACAGGGTTAGACATTTATCTTGCACTCCTGCAACATTTTTGGGGGGGGGGTTAACCCTCTGGGATTGGTCTTGCTCAAGGGCCCAACGGACATGTGACTCTTTTGCTGAGAATGGGGTTTGAACTGGCAGCCATTTGATCACATCGACAGAAGCTTAAGCCCAGACCCACATGCCAGCCCCTCTCAGTTCAGATCATATTTCATCTGAATTCCTTCACTATGCCTCCATAAACGAATAAAGAGATCTTTTGAAAGCTGTGCAGGTTGTTTTAGATAAAAACATCTGGCTTGGCCGCTCTGTAAGGTTCAGCTAGTATCTTGTGCACAGGACACATGACACCATGATGTGGTGAAAACACTCACTAAAAAGGAGGCAATGTCGAAAATCAGGAAATGGCGAAACCAAATTTTATCTCAAAATGAAATGTTTCAAAGTAACGTGAATGTCTTATGTCAGTGTGTCGTCTGAAATTTGGGAAGTTTTAAAAAAAAAAAATTGTTTAGCCAGATCGTGATGTTTTACATGTTGCAAGTTTGTTTTGCACATTGTTATGTTTTTTCCAGTGAATTTTTCTCGTGGCAGATTGTGGTTTGGATATTGTGAATATTGCACCTTGAAAGTGGAATCCTGTAGTGCAGGGGTGTCAAACTCCAGTCCTGGGGGGCCGGAGCCCTGTGTAGCTTAGTTCTTTCCCTGTTCCATCACAAATGATTCAGCTCAAGAGATGGGTGGTAATTAGCACAAGGAGGTGCAAGGAGTTGAATCAGGTGTGTTAGATGAGAAGAAACCCAAAAATGTGTAGGGCTCTGGCCCTCTGGGACTGGAGTTTGACACCTGCTGTAGTGCAGTAATTTTAAAATCCTGATGTCGGGGTGATCAGCCTATTTTGTTCAATAACAATCAACCAATTTTGTTCATGATCAATGCTGTTTTTGGGGAAATGAGACGTAAAGCAGCAAAGCCATGTATAAAGTAAGCATGTGAAGAGTCATCCCTGTGATATCATTGGATGTGTGGTCATCACATGTGGCTGAGCGCAGGAAGCCCAAAGCAACAACAGCAAACCATGTGCTTATTCTGTGTCTTTCTCTGCCTTTTGCAAATACAGTGTGAGAGGAAGGAGGAGTTTATACAGAAAATACAGGGTCTCGACATAAAGACTCAGGCCGCCATCGCCTCCTGCATTCAGGAGGTGTGTCCCCCCCATCCTTCCCGCTGACGTTGCCGGTGACGTCATTCCCATCTAAGCTCCACCCCACACACCTGTCTATAGTCTTGGCTTTATTGACTTTCAAATACCAAAACAGGAGCTTAGTACTAGACAATAAGTCATATCTATGTGCAGATTTTTGATTTTCTTTTTTATTTAAAAAAAGTATATCTTTTGTGTTTTGTAGACTAGTAGGCATGATATTGCATTGCACATAAGCCCATGTATAATTAATAAAAAAAATTATTATACATAATTATAAATAATTATACATAAATAATTATAAATATATCAACAATTATAATAATTATTATTACATGTTGCGATTCTTTTTGAAATTAACAGCAGGCGTACGGCTGAAAAAGACTAGTGCAGATTTCATTTGCCCTGAATTTCTTTGCAGGTGACCCAGAATCCGAGCAATGTGCTGCCCCTCCAGTGGGGGGAGCTGTATACCCTGGAGGCGAATGAGCTGCAGAGTGTCTTCAGCTCCATGGCTCAGCACATCCAGAGCCTCCTGGCCCAGAGGGACACTCACCTTGAGGTGGGTGCCCTAGCTGTGTACTCGCGCTCCCTGTCCTCAGCTCAGGGCGCTGAGCCACTGCCCCGTCCCGGTGGGAAGCACCCTGCTGCCCCAGAGCAGTTTTTCTCAATGATGCAAATGTGCATTACTCTGTGTTACCCTTGGCAGCGCTAATGTGACACCCTATCAGGCATACAAATATACACACAACACTCATGCAGCTGTGCTTTAAGGGCCTTTATCAGATCAGCAAGAAAAATGCCCATGTGTGGATTCTTTTTGAAGACTTGTCAGGGTGGGAGGAGTCTACATAATATTCCATTAGGGCCCGTATTCACGAAGCATCTTAAGGCTAAAAGTATCTCTGTCTGGGTGAAATTGATCACTATAAGCAGATGATCATTGTAACTTGGGGCAGTGTGTGGCTCAGTGGGTAAGCCTGTGTGCCTGTAATCAGAAGGTTCCTGGTTCAAACCCAGCCTCTGCACATCTGCAGGTCCTTGAGCAAGGCCCTTCACCCCCAGCTTCCTGGGTTCTGCTGTGGGTGGCTGCCCTTCATGGACAACTTACTCTTCAAAGAGCAAGCTGAGGGAGGCATAAGAACAATTTCCCCACAGGGACAATAAAGTATCAATTATTAACAAATTTTTTTTTTTCTTTATGCCTCAGGTAGATTACCATCTAATTGACAATTGTGTATTTATTACATGAATATAAGGCAATAAAATGGACAGTGTCACTATTTGCTGAATTTTATTGACTTGTTCAGAGTACCGTACAGCTGTTTCAAAAGCTTTTCATATTACTGAACTATACAATTTAAATACGCTATAATACAGTACTGTACATAAAAATATATCTTATTGTAGATTCGCTGCTGCATCTTGTTGGCTCAGTTGTGGCAGTTTATTATAAGCTTTGATGAGTGTATATTTGTCATTGAGAGAAAATTACTTTCTTTTTCCCGTCATTTTCTGTGCATGCAGCATTAGCCTCGGGTAGCTAGCCAGAAGCAGACAGGTTACCGCAAGGCAAAGTAGGGTGATCAAAGTAACATAAAAAAAAATGCCCTAGTTTTAATTTATTTCATACGTTGTTATGTATAAAAATAGCGAAAATGAACACTGTAAGAGGACTACTTGATTACTATAAGCAAATTATTTAAACAGTATTTGTAGAGGAATGATTCTGTCCCAAGGTAGAATACTGTAGGCCGGTAATCACTATAACCACGATCACTATAAGTTGTTTCCACTGTATTTGTGTTTATGGGTTGTTGTGCATACATTTTCACCAGCACATACTAGCCTCTCATCAACCAGTTCCCGTGGTTATTGCAGGCAAGCTCGTGCATGAGAACCGACGTCAGCCAAAGCGATGGAATCTTACTCCTAGCTTGGGAGTTGGGTTTTTTCCTATCTAAAAGTTGCTCTCAGCCACTTTCTGAATAGATAAGAATAGAACATATTCTTAGTTAAAAACTTTTAGTGCAATTTAGGAGTACTCTTACTGGTAAGACAAAATACTTTTTGAATACGGGCCCAGGTCTTTATATAGCTATTTGACCCCTGTATGTTTACTATACTTTACTGTAGAGTTCTAGGCACTGTTTTGAATGTGGTTTTTTAGTTCCAGTTTTTTCTGATCACTATTAGACTTGCACAATGTGCAGTGGTGCTATAGACACTGCATGTTAAGTGCTTGCAATTGTGAGATCTCAAGAATCGTGATAGTCAGCTGGGTGACTTATTCTTGGGCAGTATTTAATTTTTCATTTTGTCATACCGTCTGGATATTACAGTATACTGCGGTATACAGTATTTTCAAAAGCGATAAAATCACCCCCAGGGCTGCGGTCTGGGGGACTCGTATGCCATTTTACCGTAATACTGCCTATCGTCAAGTATATCATCCACTAGCTAAAACAGTTTGGCTAAAACATTTACCCTCTCACAGGAAACAAAACAATGGCAAACTTTGCAATTTTAGTGACTGATCCTTTGTAAATAATAAATTCTGTTTAGTTATAGTTTTTTTGGCAATTTGTCTGCTTCTTTTTTGCTTAAAAATATCACAATATTTGACACAAAAATTGACATTGTGATAATTGAAATTGTGTGCAGCCCTAATTGCTACCATTTTCCTCCCTTTGGCCTCATTATTGTGAGGATCTACTTTATGCTGTTAACAGCCAGGGCTGAGCCTGTTGCTGCTGCTGTTTATTACGGGTTTGACTGATTCTGTGACATTTGCAGAGTCTTGTCAGCTTTTTGCCCTCATCCTGTTTCTCACCAGAGCTGAGGAGTCCCACGGGACACAGTGTTACCTTTAGGGTAACTAGTAAGGGCTGGGAGACATGAATGATACATCAAGTAGTCGTCATATAAAATTTAAACTAAAGCAAAATGACTGCAATGGGTTGATGCCCCATCCTGGGTTGTTCCTTGCATTGTGCCTGTAGCCTGCAGGGTAGGCTTAGGGTTAGGGTTAGGCTTAGGAACCTCCAACCCTGAGTAGGATGAGCGGGTACAGAAAATGGATGGATGGACAAAATGAGACTCTTCAGTAAACTGTTTAAAAGGAACATTGCCAGTGACACCACAGATAGAACGCAGCTCCAGCCTATCATATGGTAGTCTTTTAAGATTAGACAGCCTAACAAATGCACTAGCGAGAGTGATGTTAGCGGAGCACATCACATGTTACTGTTTAGTTAAGACTAAGGAAGACATAACTGCTCCCTCAGAGAAAGTCAGGCGGTGAAGGAACGGACAGCTTAGCAGCCAACACATCCTCTTAAAAAGGGGATATTGTGGATAAACAAGGTAAAAAGACGTTGGTGTTGTGGCGATACCGTTTGCAGTTTAAAGACTGACACATAAAAGGCTGGTGTTGTGTACTGTAAACTCTGCCAACTAATACAGGAAATACCGCAAACTTATTTCACCACTCGAAGCATTGCCATCCAGTAGAATATTCAGAATGCAAGTGTTTACAGTCATGGACAACAGCAATTAGGGTTTCCACTCAAATCTCCATCATTTATTTTGTTTTATTTTGGCAGCGGATTGCGGAGCTTTGTCAGGAGCACGATGCGGCCAGGGGAAACGCCCCAGCGATGACCCCAAACAGCCACCCCGATGACACGCCGCAGGGGCTAGCTGTGCAGCTGGCGGACAGTCGCGCCAAACTGCGCCGGCTGCGGCAGGACCTGTAAGTGGTGATTGGAGAGGGTGGGGCAGGATCGTGGGGGAAAGGGGCACTTTAGAGGCAGCTGTGCCTCGAATTAGAGGGCTGGAAGAGAGTGAGAAAATGACCGAAGAGTTGCTTTAGAGTTGAACAACAAGGTGTATTTGTCATCCATTGTCTTACAGGGAGGACAAAGGAGATCAGTTATTGGACTACAAGCAGGAACTGCAGGCTATGGAGGCGGAGCTTAAAAAACTGCGTCAGGAGGTGAGGCCCTGCATGGCGCAGTGACCGAATGGTCGTCATTCCTGCAGTTCGAAGACTGACAGCTGCTGACATCTTCCCTGCCGTTTCCGGGCCAGAACCGCGCCCTTCAGGGAGAGCTGCGCGTATCACGGGGTCTGCGCGACGAGCTCGACTGCCTGCGTGAGCGCGCAGCTAAGGCAGACCGGCTGCAGTCTGAGCTGCAGAACTGTGCCCACCGCCTGCGCAGTTTGGACCTGTACCGCACACAGCTGCAGGTATATGGGCATAAGGGGACATTTTCATAAGGTTATTTTTTTACAAGGTTTTAGATAACAAACAGTTTATTTAGCACCCGGATGGATGAATGGCTGTAAAAGAGGCCATTGCAAATGATAATTAATCAAAAATGTTTTTACATATTTTGATTCCCTTCAACATCCTTTACCTATTATTGATAGACCAAGATGGGAGTGGAAAACACTCACAGATATACTGGGTTCTTAATGAATGAATTCGAGCTGTTTATGAAGTCTTGACTATCGGTTGTCTGAATACTTTATGATCTGTATATAATAGAATCATATTCTATTAAACATAGAAATGTTAAACATATTTATTAAAATTAATTGACATTAATGTTTGAGAATTAAATTTCATGTATGTTTATTTGGCTGGCAGATAATATTTAATGCAAAGTCTTAAATAATAAAATAAAATCTTAAAGCTGTATAATTTAGTTTGGGGAATTTAAACAGAAGGATAAACAGTCCAAATTCTGCACTTTATTTTTAATTTAACCCTTAAACATTTGACAATAGTAATAATAATTATTGTAATAATATAATATGCCTTTAACAAACTGGAGTGTGATCTCCTGTATTAGGGTACAGTAGCAGTTCCCCTTCAAGGATTTTAGCCTCCAACGTCTCCTCCTCCTCCTGTTCACATGTTCCTGCTGCCCCTCTGGCGCCCCATACAGGAGCAGCAGCAGTACTGCGCTACGCTTCAGGAGACGCGGGCCCTGCTGGAGGAGCAGCTGGGGGAGACTCGGGCTCGCTGCTCCAGCCTCCGTGAGCTGGAAAGGGACAATCTGCTGCTGCGCCAGAGGCTCATCGACCTTGAGGCAGTACGGAAGTCCAATGTAGTACCTCACTGCAAGGCATAGTACAGCTGAGCATAACACAGTGCAGTCCAGTGCGGTATAATACTCTATAGCTTGGCCCAGTACAGTACAGAACAGCCCAGTTCAGCATAGTACAGCTCAGCAAAGCGCAGTTCAGTATAATATAGTCAAGTATAGCATAGTTCAATACATAACAGTAGAACACAGACCAGTAGAGCACAGTACAGCATAGTACAGCTTAGCATAGCACTGTGCAGTGTTATATAGTATTCCACAGCTCAGCTCAGTATTGTCAAGTACAGCATAGTACAGTATCAATCAATAGAGTTCAGTACAGCTTAGCATAGCACTGTGCCGCGTGGTATTATACTCCACAGCTCAGCTCAGTACTGTCAAGAACAGCATAGTGCAATACAGCACAATATGGTATAGTACAGTACAGTACAGAACAGCATGGTGAAATACCGATCAGTGAAGCGCAGCATAATGTAGTACAAATCAGTACAATACAGTGTATTGGAGGTTAGAGCATATAAACACAGTCGTAAGCAGATATATAAAAGATGTTAAAACTAGAACTGACACAATTAGTCTGAAAATGCATCAGCATCAGTATTTTAAATTGACACATCGTTTTAAAAATAATTTTAATGAAATTACCTTTATGATTTCTAAAACGCTTTAGTTCATTATAACAAATGTCTTCCTTTAATATAATTAATTATGGGAATAGTTATAATAAATCAATTATAATAAAACAAAAAAAGTGGTTACCCTGTGCAAAGTGGCATACCACACGGCCCCTGAAGGGGAAACACACAGGCCCTGTTCTGGGTGATGGGCCGCCAGAGTAGGCAAAACCCCACCAGAAGTGTTGCCAGTTTATGTTTATTAAATTACCATTAATTTGGAGAGCTTTTAATATCTTGTCCTTGTAGCTGCTACATACACTCTAAGCCATGAAGTTGCCTGCCTGCTACCATAGAGTCTTCACTGAATAAGTGTTTGAGTTTAAAATCTGGGCTTATTCTACATTGAGTCACGGTACCAGTGTGTGTGTTGGTGCGCGTTGGGCTTGTTGGGACCAGTGTTATTATCGTAAAATAAAAATGAAAGGAAAACGGAAACTAATGAAAAAAAATCATTAACTGAAACAGAAATTAAAATTATATTTACCAAAAAACATGTCAGAATCAATCAGTATTAAGTACGGCCACCCACCAATGTCTTTATGCCTAGTTTAACCACAGTATATCCTCTTTAAAAAGGTGTTGCGGTTGCTTATCTGTCCCTTTCTTCACTGCCACTTCAGTCCTTACTGCTTCCATTATTTACCGAAACAGTAGCATGTGGTGCTCTGCTAGCCAAATTTGATAAGCATAAAGATATGCCAAATTTATACAGATTACTAGCTTTTGGCCATCACAATATGCATCTCATTAATATTTTAGGCACACTACCAATCTGCTTACTGAACTGTGGCCGAAAATAATGGCCATATAGTGCCTAAAATCCTGTGTCTGTTATCTAAAGCCACAGTGACATAGAGATTGTTGTGGTCAAAATAAAATTAACTTAAATTAAATGGTCAATTTGATTTTCTGGAGGAAAATAAATCATTTCGATTAATTGACCAATCGATAAAATAGTCGATGGATTAATCCGTGGAAAAATAGTTGTTAGTGGCAGCCCTAGTTAAAAGAAGCAGGGTGTCAACAAAAGTGGAAAAATTGCCACAGGTCTGGCTTCCATATTTGATGCCCCTACCAGAGGTTCCCTGTGTAGACATGATGTCCTCCTGCACGTGAATGTCCTGTAGACCCATGGCCGTGTGTGTTTGTGACACAGGAGAGGGACACGGAGCGGCACAGGGTGGAGGAGATGCTGGAGATCAACATGAGCCTGGAAGCTGAGCTGAAGCACAGCCAGGGCCAGAGCCGCAGGGCAGAGCGCCCCCTTGTGGAGTCCGATGATGAGCTCGGGCACGAGAATGAACCAGGTGCCTGTGTGTGTGAGCTGCAAAGCACGCATGTGACCCCTCACTGCGGGGAGGCCTGGTGCCTGTGTGTGTGAGCTGCAAAGCACGCATGTGACCCCTCACTGCGGGGAGGCCTGGTGCCAGTGTGTGTGAGCTGCAAAGCACGCATGTGACCCCTCACTGCGGGGAGGCCTGGTGCCTGTGTGTGTGAGCTGCAAAGCACGTATATGAACAAGGCACTGAGAACTTTCTGTAAAAACATTCAGCAGAGTGTGAAACTGAAAGTGAAACAGAGAGCTATGCAAGTTGCTTTGATTGAAATATTCGGCAATTCATTTCACTCAGCGAATTTAATTACTTGGGAGATGTTCCTCCAAAAGCTCTCTGGGCTGCTGTGGCATCCTGCTGTTTATTCTCCTTTGGCAAATGCCGCAAAGGCTAATGCATGCAAACCCACTGGTCAGGGATCCCTTCGGCTCTGGCTGGCTTGGACCTGAAGCCCCTCAGCGAGGAAGTGAGCGAGGCGTCGTCCTGGAGACTCTTGGGGGCCGAGCACGAGAACATGGAACTGCGCAGGCGCCTGGAGCAGCTGCAGGCTGAGCGAGAGGCCTGTGCAGACTGGGCAGACCCTGCGCAGGTGTCTTCGGTGAGAACACCTGCGTTCTCCGGTCTAAAAAGCCATATATACGGTGGGATTGGCGTAAGGGAATGATTTCAGACAGGCTTAGGATTCAAAGATTCTAAGGATTCAAAAGGTTTACTGCCATTTGTACTGGTACAAGTACTGAGTGAAAGGAGATGCTTATTTGTGTGTTTCATGCAGACATGCATGGGCTAACAAGACATATGACAAACACTTAGTAACAGGACATTAGATAACACTTAGTAACAGGACAGTGGACAGTCCATAATAACAGAACAAAGGACAAAAACTTAACAACAGGATATAGGACCTGAACAGGGTAAGCAGTTTCAGAGGATGGATGGATGTAACTGGGCTACATTTAGCTTTGTGAATAAACCAAACTTAACAGCCAGCACTTCCCATCATTTGAGGTATGAATGTTACACAGGATCTTTAGCAACAGTGGACCTCATAACTACTCATATGTCTAATGGTCTATTTGTACAGGTCCAGACCTATTTCCTCTTTTAATAATATATTCAAAATGGTTTCCCTCTCAGGGTTATCCTTATTCCAGGTCAGGGTCACAGGGCCCTTTGTCAAGAACAACTAGCATGATTTTTAAACTAAAAAACCGATTTACAGTAATTGGGGTTTTGGAAGAAAATGCACGTTTAATCTGTGTGTGTGTGTGTGTGTGTCCACGTGCATTTTTGTACCTCCTCATATATGTGCATGTGCTCACGTCATAAAGACTGATCTGCTGGAGGAGAAGGAGAAACTGAAGGGAGAGCTTCACAGAGAGACAGACAGACTGATCACACTGGAGAGTAAACACCAGGACGTGGTGAAGGAGGTGAGAAGATTGAGAAGATGACGTGACATCTAGCTAACTTCTCACTAAAGGCATCATGGCTGAAACAAAGACACCTGCTAATATTTATTATTTACTCAGTGAATATGTTAGAGACATTTTTCTCCTTTCTCAGGGGCAGGAGTACAGACCAAGGAGAAGTGCTGTTACTGAATAGTTATGCTCTTTACTCCTCAGCTCCAGAACCTGAAGGATGAAAATGAACGCCTGAAAATCAGGTTGGAGTCAATGAGTGTGGAAAAGCAGGATGAGAAAGGAGGAGGGCAAGGGAAAGCAGAGAAAGGGCTCCCCAGGGAGGTGGGAGAAGGAGGCCAGGAGATGGAGGAGCTGGCATTCAGGAAAGAGAAGCCAGGGAAGGAGCGAGAAACCGGAGGTGCAGCGGAGGGGGTGGGGATGACACGTGAAGATGGGGAAGGAGAGGAAGTGATGAGTTTGAAAGAGAAAAGAGAAGAGGTGAAGAGGGCGAGAGAGAACCGGGGGGAGCTGCAGGAAATCTCCAGAAAAAGAGAAGATGGAGAAGGAGAGAAGGAGGTGGACAGAACAAACAGACTGACAGAAAAGAGAGAGGAGGACAGAGAGGGGGAGGTGCAAAGGACAAAAGAGAGCAAAGAAGGACGGAGGGAGGCTGGACGGCTCACGGAGCGAGAGAGGACGGAGGGCGAGGAGCAACAGGAGATGCAGGCAGAAAGCGGGGAGGCCGATGAGGAGCTCTCCTCCCTGGCCCTGCAGCTGCAGCTGGCACTCCAGGAGGTGGCGCAGCAGAGCCAGGAGGCCGAAAGGCAGGCCGGCTTGGTCCAGGAGCTGCGCGCCAAGCTGGCGGAGCAGAATCGCAGGGCCGCCAGCGCCGAGCAGCGACTGAGCGTGCTGGAGGTAGAGGCGCAGCGGCTGAGGAAGACTGGCGAGGGCCTGGTCCAGGCCAGGAAGCAGATCGAGGTAGGATCGGCGCAGACGCCGCAGCGGCGATACGGACCCCCGCGCGCATTCATGTATCTCTATAGCTGTATACTTACATCGAGGTAGGATCAGCGCAGACGCCGCAGTGGCGATACGGACCCCCACACACTTTCATGTATCTCTATAGCTGTATACTTACTTTGAGGTAGGGCTGCGTCACCCAGCACAGAAACCACAGCGGCGATTCAGATTGCTGTGCGCTTTTATATATTTATCTATAGCTGCATCTACAGCTATTAATGGATATCAGTTTAAAAGATCTGAAAAGGTCTGAAAGCAAAATATTGAATACGTCCATGACTCATGAGTTAGTTATACTATTTAGATTAGATTAGATTAATAATATATAAATAAATAATAAATTAATTTAAAAATGAATACTTTTTTTTTTTTTTTTAATTAAAGGATGGATTATGTTCAATTAAAAAACTGCTTAAAGATGCTTTTCTTCATAATGCCTTGGATGTTTGTATTCACAGTGTGAATCTGCAGGCAGAAACTTTATTGTATGTTATGTGAATGAATGGATTCAGGTGGAATAAGAGGTTAAAGGGCACCTTTGGAAGGCATATGTCACTGGACTATGTTCAGTTTGGGTATCGCATGTTGACACATTGCTTCTGCTAATTAACCATCTCTTCTCCTTTTCATCATTCTTGGATATATATGCAAGGTTTACTGATAGCATTAATAATGCAACACAAATGCTTATATTGCACATAGAAGGAAGACTTTTTGAGAGAAGGTATTAGACTTGTGCTTGGAAGCGGACACAGTTTGTACTAATTTACTGTTTTGTACTTTTGTTACGTTTTAGTGAACGCTGTGTTATGTTATATATATATATATATATGTTATATATAAGGGCTGCAAGCCGGCTGCGTTTCTTTTTATGCTAAAACACACTTGATGAACTTCCTCAGTGATATTAAATAACTTAAATTGAAATGGGTCCCAGATCAAACTGTTGTTAAGCCAGTAAACAGAGCCGTGCTTAAATCTGGGAGGGGTTCCTCCGTCTCATGCAGCTCGCCCCCCTCTGCTTTTCCGGCAGGCCCTGCAGTCAGAGTCCGAGCAGGCCGATGAGGAGCTGATGCGCCTGCGGGCGCAGCTGGAGCTGCAGAGGCTGGAGGGGGCTGTGGCTGCGCAGCTGCAGGGGGAGCGAGCGCAGCTGGAGCGGGAGAGAGACAGCCTGCGCTCCACCATCGACTCGCTCCGTGCCGCTGTCCGCAAGGTGCTCATATTGGCTTATATAAAAACCCCCCCCCCCGCCGTCTCTTACTCGTCCGTGTGATCGCTGTCAACCGGGGATGGATCCCTTGAATATTCTGGGGCTTCAGTCCCCCAGAGGACACTGGGTTTGGGTCCCAGTGTGGCAGGGGTTTGCATCCCCTTGCATGAGGACCAGAGAGGGTGATCCCTAACAGAGACCAGAGAGGGTGGTCTAAAGTCCCCTACTGAAAACTTGGGAGGTTTAAAGTCCCATGTTTTTGGTGGTATTTTATTATTATTATTATGAATAACTGATTCAATTTTTAATGTTTTTTTTCTGTGCCTATTGTTATGCTTATATTAATTGTTTTCTTTTAAATGTCTTTAAAGCACTTAGTAAACCCTGTGGTTAAAACAGTGCTATTTAAATAAAGATTGACTGATGGTCTCCAGGGCGACCAGCTGGAACTGGCCAACCAGACGCTGAAGGCGGAGCTAGAGAGGCTGAGCCGCAGCTCAGAAGCAGCGCGGCGGCGGGAGGAGGAGCTGCAGGCGGAGCTGCGGGAGGCGGGCCTGGAGGCGGAGGCTCTGGGGCGCCGGCGAGATGAGGCCACGCTGGAGGCCTCGCGACTGGAGCAGGAGAAGGAGGCGTGCCTGAGCCAGCTGGATGCACAGCAGCGGGAGCAGAGGCAGCGGGAGCGGGAGCTGGGCCGCCTGAGGCAGCAGCTGGAGAGCACAGCCTCCGCCCTGGAGCACAGCAACCAGAGGGCCTGTGGCCTGGAAGCCGAGCACAGGTCAGCAAGCGCTTCGGGTCACCCCCCCCCCCCCACTCACCTGACTACAACAGCGTTGGCTTTCACCAGCTTCCTTTTTGCCTGACAAAATGTTGAAATGAAACAAAGCGACTGTTTATTGTACAACATACAATGTGATTTTGTGCCAGATTTTGTTATTGTGTTTGTTTTAAAGGGACCCTATTATGCTCCTTTTCGCTGTTCATATTTTTATTTTGGGGGTCTACTAGAATATATTTATATGCTCCAGTGTTCCAAAAACGCAATTTTTCTCATACTGTACATCTCTATTCACCCTGTCTATACTTCTGTCTGAAATGTTATGTTAGAACTTGAGCCTGGTGTGCTCTGATTGGTCAGTTTGCCCTACACATTCTGCCCCCTTTCTTGCAGTCTGCAGACAGATCCTTGCAGGTAGGCAGCCAGTGAGGATTGTAATGGGTTATCGTAACACACCCCCGCTTTCGGACATTCCGACTATAGGATGCGGTGCTAACGGCCCGTACCACGCTGTCCGCTTTCGGACATTCCGACTATAGGATGAGGTGCTAACGGCCCGTACCACGCTGTCCGCTTATGGACATTCCTACTATAGGATGAGGTGCTAACTGCCCGTACCACGCTGTCCGCTTTCGGACATTCCGACTATAGGATGAGGTGCTAACGGCCCGTACCAC